AAGAGGTGCAACATGGGAGCCAGCGGGTGTCGGCAAAAGGGGTGATGTGTGAGGAGGATTAGCTGATGCAGGAATAGGTGGAGCAGGTGAGGGCTGAGCAAAAGGGGGTGTTGGCAAAAGGGGTGATGTGTGAGGAGGATTAGCTGATGCAGGAATAGGTGGAGCAGGTGAGGGCTGAGCAAAAGGGGATTGCAGAACGAACGGCTGAGGGCCCATTTGTGTCCATCGGGAAGGACGTAAATGCCCTCGTGGAGATGGCAATCTAGCCATTGGAAGGACTGCATTGAAACCGACTGGGTGAAGCSWTCGAAGTTTTCGAACCCAAAAACCCTCGYGGGGTGCAGCAGCCCTCCGAAAGAGGCCATGATCAACAAGACCTCCAGACGTATGATAYAGGGTAGGATCGATGCATTCCAGGGGCCAAGCCGCGAAGTTGAATGCTGGTTGCCCACTCATTGTGTGGTAGAAATGGCGATGGTGAAAAGTAGCAGAAGAGTGTCGTGTATGCCAATGCTCTTGCAGCCTTTGGTGTGCAGAATGCATCCTCTCCAACATAAAAACGACCAGAAGGTAAATGAACAATTGCATAAATCACTCCTCGAACAGTGAGGGGGTCCATACCTGGCTCAAGAGGTTATTGATCAACACCTCGCAATTGTAACTCRAACCGCTCGGCCTGCACAACATTGTTAAGATGACGGAGTTGTTTCTTACGCCACCTTCCTGCAGAATACAAGTTAGTATTCCACTCCAAGTGTGCACGCCAATCTACACGATGAGATACAGATGCCTGGCGGTTCGACATGTGAGCATAAGCAAATGGGACAGCGTGACCTAGAGGAAAGCTTGGAATAGCACCTGCCATGCCAACGGCAGGAAATCTCCCGAAAGGGGTGGAAGGTATCGGAACAGGCCCTTGATTATTTCTCAATTGCAAATTCATTGATTATGAAACGATTGTTTTTTTTGTTTTTTTTCTTATTTGTTTTTTTTCATTTTTTATTTTTTTGTCAACTTTTCAATCCAAAGAAAGGAGGTGGGTGCATGAGGTGACAGGACTTTAGGCCCGACGGCTCAGGTCGGGATTCCTGCCGTCGTCCTTTTTGTTTGCTGTTCACAGTCAGCAGCTTTGTCAAAGAGGGAGTTTGGTATAAATGTGAAACTGCGTCTCCCGATGAGTGTGCAATCAGCATAAGTGTGCAACCAGCAGCAATGCCAACAGCCTTACACCGATAGACCAACAGTGTCTACATAAAAATATGTCACCAAGCAACTGACACATGCATGAGCCAGCGTAGAAGGATTATCCCAAAGAACAVGGAACAAGAGGTGAGTGGGCATGGAGGCAGCCGCCCGGGTCTGGCCAACCTTAGGCGGGCCGTAACTATACCACTGCACGGGAAAGGGGTGCAACCCGTGCCCTTGCRGTGACCGCCATCACAATCACATCATGCACTGAAGGAAAAAGTGTGCATAATAGCTGTACACAACACATAGACAAGACGGAATGTACATCACGAATGTCCATGTAAGGGGTGTACAGCAGAAATGAACATGGTCACAATACCAAGCTTACCAAAAAAGGACAAACAACCATGCAGAACTTTTGTAACAACATCTGTCATAAGAAACAATGGAGGAGCTGAGTTCACCATGAAACCAGCCAAATAGGCATACAGCTCCTGCGAAGGAGGCAGGAGAGTCGTTAAGGAAGGGGGTGAGAACAACATAAAAACAAAGATGTAGGAGATAAGAGAAAGAATAGATTGTCTTCCACAAAAAAAGTGAGTGCCTGGTTGTACAGGCCCGATGCTCGCCGCTCAATCTGCAAGAGCAGAGGGCTAGCAACATCGGAGAATATATTGTCACATCACTACAAACTAAAAGAGC